TTCACCCATCTCAAATCTCACCTGCCATAACACTGCAACATCCCTCTACAACTCCACTCTCTCATTTCAACTAGAAATCATGGCACTTCATACACTTAAAATCACTAAGCGCCCCCAATTACAACCCTGGCACACCAAGCTGACCCGATACCTCCAAAAATGTTTCAGAACTGCTGAACGCTGCTGGAGAAAGTCTCACTCTGCGTCTGACTTCCTCCACTATAAATTTATGCTGCGCTTCTACAGTCTGGCTTTTTTCCTTTACAAAAGAAAACTACTTCAATGCACTCATAACCACACTCTCCCGCGAGCTTAAATGACTCTCTTCTGCGCCCTGTCGTGCCTCCTCCTCCTACCAACTTGACCGCCACAAACTTTGCAACTCACTTCACTGAGAAGATTTCTACAATCAGGGAAGAGATCTCTCATCTCTCTCCATCCACTATCAACTTCTCCCCTAACCACACTCCATCAGCTGTCCTATGCTACAGCAGAAGAGGTTTCTGCTCTGCTCCGTTCCTTCCGCCCCATCACCTGTTCCCTCGATCCTATTCCTTCGTATCTTATCCCCACTTTGTCTCCTTCTCTTGCTCTGCCTCTCACTAAAAATTTAAATCTCCCCTCTCCTCTGGCACATTTACTCTACCCTTCAAATGTGCAACCGTAAGCCCGATTCTAAAAAAGCTCAACCTTGACCCTAATTCCCCTCCAACTACTGCCCTATCTCGCTACTGCTATTTGTCTCCAAGTTCCTTGAGAGAGTTGTGTATGCGAGATTGACAGACTTCCTCGAATCCAACTTTCTGCTTGACCCGCTTCAATCTGGATTCCGCACTCATCACTCTGTTGAAACAGCTGTGACCAAAGTATCCAATGATCTTATCACTGCAAAATCCCATGGCCACAACTCTATCATAATTCTCCTTGACCCTTCTGCGGATTTTGACACTGTTGATCATCAACAGCTTCTTCTCAACCTCTGTAATCTCGGTCTACGAAATACGGCTCTCTCCTGGTGCTCTTCCTACCTTTCCCAGCACTCATTCAGTGTTTCTTTCCCTGGCTCTGCCTCTTCTCCCCAATCCCTCTCTGTTGGTGTTCCCCAAGGGTCTGTCCTTGGTCCCCTATTGCTCTCAATCTACACTGCCACTTGGTAAACTCGGCAGCTTGTTCGGCTTCCAGTATCATTTCTATGCGGATGACACGCAAATGTATTTGTCCTCCCCTGATTTCTCACCATCCCTCTTGACAAGTGTCAAGACAAATGACAAAGACAAATAGCCTCTCTGCTATTTCCAACTGGATGGCTGCTCATTTCCCTAAACTGAACCTGTCGAAAACAGAACGTCTGGTCTTCCCCCCTCAATTGTTGCTACCCCCAGGTCTGTGTCCCTCCAAGTCAATGGTGCTACCAACCGCTCTACCTCTAAGGCTCACTGCCTAGGACCCTTTTTAACGCCTGATACAGAAAAGGTGCTTGTCCATGCCACTGTCCTCTCTGGCCTTGACTACTGTAATCTGCTTTTTAGTGGTCTTACGTGTTCCCAACTTGCCCCTTTACAGTCTATAATGAATGCGGCGGCTAGGCTCTTCTTCCTATCCATCCGCACCTCCCATGCCTCCCCCCTTTGTCAGTCCCTACATTGGCTTCTCGTTAATATAGGACTCAATTTAAGATCCTGATACTTGCTTACAAATCTCTACACAATACTGCTCCAACCTACTTATCCTCACTAATACACAAATATGTCCCATCTAGGCCCCTACACTCTGCTGGAGACCTACTTCTAACCTCTGTTCCTACTCCTACCGCTGATGCTCACCTTAAAGACTTCTCTAGGGCTGCACTGTTCCTATGGAATGCCCTTCCCCTCTCTCTTTGACTTTCACCCAATCTCTACTCCACTCTTTGAAAACGTACAGACTTACAGATTGCAGAGACAGCCTACAGATCAGATAAGTGAGGGTTGGGGGGAGACAGCCTACAGGAAGGGTCAGGAAGGTAAAGTAGGAGAAGGAGCAGAAAGTAGAAGGAGTAGATATAAGCAGGAAGGGACATTAGGGAGCAGAAATGGTCAGCAAGGAGCTGGAAGGGGCAGAAGGAACACAAAGGTAAAGTAAGGAGCAGAAAGGAACAGAAATGAGCAGGAAGTTGTCAACAAGGAGCAGGAAGGTAAAGTAGGAGAAGAAGCAGAAACGAGAAGGAACAGAAATGAGCAGGAAGGGAGAGCAAGAAGCTGGAAGGGGCAGAAGGAGCACAAAGGTAAAGAAGGAGAAGGAGCAGAAAGGGTCTGCAAGGAGCAGAAAGGGATCAGAAAGAAAAAGGAGCAGAAGGGCGCAAAAGAAGCAGAAAGGTAAAGGAGCAGAGGGGCCAAGGAGGAGAGAAGATCGTGTCAAATGAAGGAGAAGAAAAGGAGATTGGAGCAGGAAGGACAAGTGAAGTGATCCCTCCACTTCATTCTGGACACCACATCATAAGGCTTTGGTACCTGGGCCTGACAGGGAAACTTTGGACCTTCTCATAGACAAAATAGGCAAACAAAATAATTTTTACAACTAGATCTAGACCCTGGTAACTGCTGAAAGAGTGACTTAGTAGGACAGAGAATTAAAGAACTGTTGACTATTTTCAAATGTTGGGTTGGGAAGCAGAACACCAGATCCAACAGTATCTTAAATGAATCTGTATAATTCTCCAAACCAGGACCTATCTAGTATCCAGTACATAGGCTTATTAACAGGTGAGTAAGACTTGTTACCTATGAGAGCACATTTAATGCTGTCATCTTGTTCAGGCAGAAGAATGGCGATTGCTTAGACAAAGTCATAGGTATCAAAGAAGAGCAATAAAACTATCCTCCGAGCAGGCCCAGATTGGCTATTGGCCAAACTAGATTGGTCATTTGTTGTTGTCTGCAATGGTCAAGCATTGTTCTTGTGCATTAAATAAGTATTTAAACAAATGCCAGTTCTGCTGCAAAGGAACCAGATGCAGATAAATAAGCTAGTCAACCCAAAGAAATCTCTACATGCACACTTCCAGCAACAAATTATCAAACAAACCTTGAGCAAACGATAGAACCAGAACCAGTGGACCATGAATGTAGCAGTGAATAGAGTGGTCACATAAATCACAGAACGTTGTGATAGAATAATCAAAACGTCACTTTATATGAAAGACTACGTATGACTGTGGCTCACCTAAACCACTAACTGTCATATTACAATTTATTATATTTTTTTGCTATTTTCTTGGTTTCTTTTTCTTTTTATCAAATGTCACTATAGCATTAGTTAGAGCAGTGTATCCCACACTGTAAAGACATGTGTTATTATAAACAGTGTTATTAAAGCACCACCCTCCTTTTAATTAAGTACCAATATATCATAGCAGCTTTATGCCGATATTTTTTAAACTGATTTAGTCTTGATGTATGTTATGATAGATTTATCAGTAGCATTTTATATTTCAGGGAACCTAGGTGAAGATGTATTATAACATAACAAAAAATAATATAACACAATATAATATAGAATACACAAAACATCTGAAAACCACTCATTTAAAAATAAGTATTTACAAAGCACGTTTTCTATGTGTTATGCTAAACTGGCTACATGAAAATAGTTTTTAGGTGACCTCAATATTTTTTTTCCAACTGTCATGATGAGTGATTACATAATAATAAATTGTGTTAACATTCCTACATTATAGTACATCTCTCTCTTCTGTTATGGCAACAGTACAGTAAGCCAGTGTTTCTCAACCCTTTACAGAGCAGTACTCCTGCAGATCTGGAAAAAGTCTTAGGTACCCCTGCATTGAGAAAGTAATTTCTATTGATTAAAATTCCAACAAAACAATGTTGATATTTAAATTAATCCCATCTTGGAGAACATGCTTGATTAAAGGTAGTAAAGAAGATTTTGACATATAAATATGTCATAACGTGAATATTGTGCATGTATTTGTAAGACGAAGTGTATGAACTATTAATCTGAAGTATAAAAGTCATAAAATTAAAATATAAACCACACTTAATAGGTAGACCCAGAGGACACTGAGGCACACATACAGTGACACACAGAAGACACTGAGACACACACAGATTTACAAGGCGAGGACACTGACACACATTTACACAAAGGAAACTGACACACTGAGAACACTGACACACACTCACACACATTTACACACAGAGGACACTGATGCACACACACATTTACACACACCGGGAACTGATACATAAATATCATTTTGGGGTGAGATACAGAAGACTAAATAAGAAAACAAAACCCAATTGTGTATATTTGAAAATAAAACAAATCCCAATTTCTTGGATAGTTGGTATTCCTGTTAATGGATATCTTGCATAAGACCTGCATTGTATCACCACTGCTCATACGACCCTATTATCCCTCCATTAACAGGATATGTCATCCAACACCAGTGTGGTGCTGTGGACACCATCTGCTGTAAACCAACCCTCCTACATCTATCACAGTTTTGAATTTTGGAGAGACTCAAGTACAGGCTAACTTATATAAATGTAATTGACTCAATATGCTATAGATATTATTGCTGATAACCTAACTTATTTGGTTTCATTATCACTTGCTGTATTTTAGACACCCTGAACTCAAGTTGTCCCTGTATATGGAAATATTGTCCAGCAGACAGAAAGCTGAGCCCTTACCATCGCATCTAAAACCAGCCAAGGTCAGTGTGAGGCTGGACTCGCCCCCACAAACTCATGTTTCTTAACCTCCCAGGGCCCAACGAGTGGGCGGCCTCAGAAGATGATGTCATCCTTCGAAAGACCACCAGGGAGAACTTGGAGTGGGGAAATGAAAGCACCTGTCACCCCAAAGATGAGAAGGCTATCCAGTTTGGCAGCTTTGGTGGCCATTGGAGACTGCCTACATTGCATAATTACACTCCCACCTCTGCTTGCAGTGTGAGTGATGGCAGGGCTGGTCTGGGAATATTTTAAACTGGAGCTCCTTCTGTTCCTGGTGTACCCCCTGCTTTTGGTACATATGCTACGCGTACCACAGGTTGAGAAACCAGGCAGTAAGCTATTTCTAGCTGTTGCTGACTGTTTTATGCAGATGGCATAAATGAAGAATTGATATCTGATTTGCAGTTATAAGATATATTGAATAACATGTTACTTGGCCCTCTGCGTGTTCCACAGTCTTTACTGGTGTGTACTGGAGTTGTTTTTTCTAGTTATGTCTCAAGAATGTATTTTCTTTTTAAACACATTTTTTTCTGCATACAAAACATAGATTTCTAGGAACTGCTAAATTCTTTACCAGTTAATAATTAAACAGGGACACGGCTGGCTGGGGGATTTTTAGGTAATGTGAGAAATCAAAGAACAGAAGACAGAATTTTAACAGATCTAACATTCTATGAGCTCATTAGTCTTGTTCTGGTTAAATATTTGGTCAAATGCCCCTGCATGTACGTCTTGGCCTCTCAAATACTAGCTCAGTAGGGGGAAAGGGGTACACATCTGGAATAACTTTTACTTCTAGGAAAAAAATCTACAATTTTGATGGGATATGTATTCATGTTTTTGCACACTCCTGATGTAATTATTGCCCCAATTTTTCTGCTGTTGTACCAATGAGAGAAATCATTTAACCCCTTAAGGACACATGACATGTGTGACATGTCACGATTCCCTTTTATTCCAGAAGTTTGGTCCTTAAGGGGTTAAAGGGGTTAATTGACCCTTTCATGACTTCAGATGGAACATGGTTAATCCATTTAAACCATAATAAAATACCTGCTGGATTGTTTACATTTAAAATGGTTTAACTGGGGACAATCAATCAATCCACTCCTATGTTACTATGATGGGCATAGCATTTCATATTTTGGAAGGCAGAAGCTTCTGTTCTCTTGAGGACATCATCAGCTCCGGAATGGTTCTATAAAAAGATGCCCTAATAAAAATAACATGCTTATTTAAATAGATTTAATATGTACTGACTGATGGGTGCTATGTTACACAGGACTAAATCAAAAGCAACATTTCCCACTCCTTTGTATCTATACTTCATAAATATATAATATATATATACAGGTTACATTACAGTAAGTACAGTAGGTATATAGCACAAACAGGTGTTCTGACACAAATTACAGTTTACATCTCCTTGGAGGGGGTACAGTAAGTGCATGAAGTCTGTGGTTAAATGTCCATAATGAGCAAAAAAATGTGTAGGGGTTGTTCTCTCTACCTTATCGTAAGGAAACACTATAGCATTAGGAATACAAAACTGTATTCCTAACGCTACAGTATGCCGCTGGAGAATGATACAAAGTAGTGAAGGGCTATGTTTTCCTGCATGTGATATGAGTTTGCATTTATGCTCATCTTCATTCAATTCGACATCACAGCGGATCTATGTTTGTTTCTACCTATCTTTTCATATTTTTGTAAAAATATCCTAGGTGACATATCTGCTTCCTGGTGTGCATTGGAGAGATGGAAAGAGAAATATATTTACCTAAAGCTTGCCCCTCTCAGAGCTATCATTACTTATCATTAGTTATATGGATATATTTTATTTTTTTGTAAGATTCACTATGAAAATCTCAGACATTACAGTGCCACTTCGAAGCTGAATACTTCACCCGAGTCTTCATTAGTCTTTAAAATTCAACTGTTTAGAAAAAAAAAAGTAAGTTCCTCTGTAAATAACATATTTATAGAATTTGTTTCTGCATTGCAAAATATACTGGCGAATCAAATTAATCTTCATGTAAACAGTTGTTTTCAAAATGTTGCATACACTTGCAGAAATTGTGAAATTTTGGCATTGATTTTATGACTGATCATGCAAACAAAATGTATTTTATTGAAGGATAGTGATCACATGAAGCCATTGATTATTACATAGTTTTAAATCATAATGATAACAGAAATCACCCAAATGGCCCTGACATACCCTTGAATGTTTGGCCTTGTTACAGACACACAAAGTGACATACACAGATTAAAATGGCAATTAAAGAATAATTTCCTACACCTGTGGCTTTTTAAATTGCAATTAGTGTCTGTGTATAACTAGTCAATGGGTTTGTTAGTTCTCACATGGATGAACTGAGCAGGTTAGATACTAAGCCATGGGAAGCAGAAAAGAGCTGTCAAAAGACCTGCGTAACAAGGTAATGGAACTTTATAAAGATAGAAAAGGATATAAAAAGATATCCAAAGCATTGAAAATGACAGTCAGTACTGTTCAATCACTTATTAAGAAGTGGAAAATTCAGGGATCTCTTGATAACAAGCCAAGGTCAGGTAGACCAAGAAAGATTTCAGCCACAACTGCCAGAAGAATTGCTCGGGCTACAAAGAAAAACCCACAGGTAACCTCAGGAGAAATACAGGCTGCCCTGGAAAAAGACGGTGTGGTTGTTTCAAGAAGCACAATACGACGATACTTGAACAAAAATGAGCTGCATGGTCGAGTTGTCAGAAAGAAGCCTTTAATGTGCTAATGCCACAAAAAAGCCAGGTTACAATTTGCCCGATAACACTGTGACACGCCTCACAGCTGCTGGCTCACTGTAATTTGGAGTGACGAGACCAAAATAGAGTTTTATGGTCACAAACATAAGTGCAATGTTTGAAGAGGGGTCGACAAGGCCTATAGTGAAAAGAATACCATCCCCACTGTGATGTGTGGTGGTGGCTCACTGATGTTTTGGGGGTATGTGAGCTCTAAAGGCACAGATAATCTTGAGAAAACGGATGGCAAGACAAATGCAGAATGTTATCAGAAAATACCAGCAGACAACTTGCATTCTGCTGCACAAAGGCTGCACATGGGACGCTCTTGGACTTTCCAGCATGACAATGACCCTAAGCACAAGGACAAGTTGACCCTCCTGTGGTTACAGCAGATAATGGTGAAGGTTCAGGAGTGGCCATCACATTCTCTAGACCCTAATATCATCAAGTCACTCTGGGGAGATCTAAAACGTGCGGTTCATGCAAGATGACCAAAGACTCTGCATGACCTGGTGGCATTTTGCCAAGACAAATGGGCAGCTATACCACCTGCAAGAATTAGGAGCCTCATAGACAACTATTACAAAAGACTGCATGCAGTCATTGAGAACTAAGGGTATGCAGACATTTGAACAGGGGTCATTTCATTTTTTTTCTTTGTTGCCAAATTTGTTTTATGATTGTGCCATTCTGTTATAACCTACAGTTGAAAATGAATGAATAAGAAATAAAAGAAATGTGTTTTGCATGCTCACTCATGTTTTCTTTAAAAATGGTACATATATTACCAATTCTCTAAGGGTATGCAAACTTTTGAGCACAACTGTATATATATACATATATATATATATATATATATATATATATATATATATGTGTGTGTGAAAAGCCCTTGCACTCCAGCCAAGAAATACTGGTACCTGGTGCTCTGGTAGCTAAGCAATATATACAGAGGGAATACCGGCACTCCAAGGATTTTCAAGTTATTTTCTTCTTTATTCAAAATGACATCATATTTCTTAAAACATCATACTAAATAAAATAAAATAAAATAACAGTTCTAAATGGGACTGGGGAATTGCCAAAATGTAGGACAAAATAATGCAGAGAATTTTTTCAAATTCTTCAATAATATGACAATACTCCATTCACTGAATAAATTCCTTTGTCTTATTTAGATGAATTACAAGAAATATAGCGGTAAACTCTGTATTATTATACAACTGAGTAGTTCTGGAAACATCATTATAGAGCACAAGACCAAAGGTAAAGTGGTTTATGAATTTCTCCAAAACCCTGAATGAGCAGTTAAAAATTTTTTGGGACAAAACATACATTCAGCTTATACTGTAGTATTAACCCCTTAAGGATAGAGACTTTTTGCACATTCTGATCAAAACAAAATGTAATCAAAACCTTTAATTTGTGCTATATGTTTGTTTAACCGTAATTCATCTTTCATATTAAGTGCACCCACGCATATTATATATATCATTTTGTTCAGGAGAATCAGGGCTTTCATTTAACATTAGATATGTAAATATGAAACATAATTTTATTGGAATACAAACTGAAATGGTGTGAGAAATTAAGAAATGTTGTTATTTTCTTACTTCTACATGGCATTTTAGCTGTACATGTCATAATACTGTTAGCTTTTACTGCAATAAAATACACATATTTGTGTTCAGCGATGCCTCCCAAGTACAACATTACCCTCAATGTACAAATTTTATGGTGTTTTGGAAAGTTACTGGGTCAAATATATTAAGCTTTCGTCTGTCCAGTTATTGCCCATTGAAATTTGCCAGATTGGTTATGCTGTCTTTGAGACAGAATGGCTGTCCAAGAATTAAAAATAACCCCATCATACCATTTGGAAAAGTAGACAACCCAGGCTATTCAAAATGGGCTACATAATTTCTTTTTAGAGTAGCGAATTAGTCACAAACCCGAGCCAATGTTTACGTTCATATTTGCCATTCTTTCTTTATTCACAGACAATGAATCAGTGTACAATACAGTAAGTAGATAAGTTGTAAAATAAGAGTAACATAGCATAGACATCAACAACAGTACTGCACAACGCATAGGTGGTTATAAGGGCACTGGCAGGGCCGGACTAGGGATACAAAGCAGCCCTGGAAAAGAAAATCTATGCCAGCCCCACAAGTCATTGCACCATATATTGTCACATGTAATATGTAAGACTATGTCTTGCCACCCCAGATGATTGAGTAATAGATATATATAAATATATATATATATTATATATTGCTTTTTCTTATATAAAATATTGGTCCTTTCAGAGTAAAACATTTAATTATACAGTAAGCATACTCACATGCAGACACAGACAATCTCACTGACACACACAAGCTCATTGATACACAGCCTCATAGACAAACAATCTCACTGATATACATAAGCTCATTGACATAAAAACACAAGCTCAGTCACTAGCAGATACACTAGCAGACACACACACAGCTTAATGTAGTGGTTCTGGTGTCTATAGCCTGTCCCTGCAGGCTTTTGAATGTAAACACTGACTTTTCAGAGAAAAGGCAGTGTTTACATTGCTTCCTAGTGACAGACACTCAGTCGGTCACTAGAGGCGCTTGTCAGTGTGGATTGGCTGAGATCATCAAGCTTGATGATCTCAGTCATAGAGGCAGGGCAAGGCGA